GGGGACAGCGGGTACTGCGGGATCGGGATCAGCACCCCGGTACGAGACGAGCCCGAGCCGGACACCAGCAGCTTCAGGATGCTCTGGGGACATGGGGATATTGGGGACATTGGGGACATTGGGGACAGCGGGTACTGCGGGATCGGGATCAGCACCCCGGTACGAGACGAGCCCGAGCCGGACACCAGCAGCTTCAGGATGGTCTGGGGACATTGGGGACAGTGGGGATATTGGGGACATTGGGGATATTGGGGACATTGGGGACATTGGGGACAGTGAGGGGACAGCGTGGGAACAGTGAGGGGACAGGGTGGGGATAACGAGGGGACAACGTGGGGATGGATATGGGGACAGCGTGGGGACATCAGGTGACATCATGGGGACATGGCTGGGGTGGCCATGGGCCACTGTGGGGACAATGAGGGGACATGGGTGGGGGTGGCCATGGGGACAGTGAGGGGACAGCTGGACCACGGGGTTGGCACGATGGGGACACGGTGACAACGCGGGGACACCGCGGGGCTGCCCCGGAGCTGGCACTGTCACTGTCACACTGTCACACTGTCACACTGTCACACTGTCACTGTGTCACTGTCACTGTCCCCGCGGGGCTCCCCCGCAGCTGGCACTGTCATTGTCACTGTCATTGTTACTGTCCCCGCGGTGCCACCCCTGGAACTGGCACTGGCACTGTCATTGTCACTGTCGCCGCCGTTCCCGCGGTCGCTGCCAAGCTCCGCACAAATGTCCCTTTGTCGCCGGCCCCCGTGGGAACGGCGCTGGGAGGTGGCACCGCGCCCGGTGTCCCCTGCCCGAGGGGCTGGCACGGTGTCACCGGTGTCCCCTGCCTGAGGGGGGTGGGGATGGCCCGGTGTCCCCGGTGTCGCCGATGTCGCCGTGGGAACGGCGCTGGGGGTGGCACCGGGCCCGGTGTCCCCTGCCTGAGGGGGGGTTGGGGCTGTCCCGGTGTCCCCGGTGTCCCCAGTGTCCCCAGTGTCCCCGGTGTCCACTGCCTGAGGGGGGGTTGGGATGGCCCGGGTGTCCCCAATGTCCCCAATGTCCCTGGTGTCCCCAGTGTCCCCGGGTGTCCCCATTGTCCCCATTGTCCCCGGTGTCACTGATATCCCAGTGTCCCCATTGTCCCCGCTGTCCCCATTGCCCCCATTGTCCCCATTGTCCCCAATCTCCCCATTGTCCCCATGTCCCAATCTCCGCAGTGTCCGCAGTGTCCCCGATATCCCCGATGTCCCCAGTGTCCCCGATATCCCTGATGACGTCCCCAGTGTCCCCACTGTCCCCAATGTCCCCGATCTCCCGGTTGTCCCCGATGTCCCCGATGTCGCCGTACCACGATGGCGTCGCTGGCCCCGGTGGACAGGAAGATGTCGTCGGCGTTGGCGGGGACACCGTCGCGACGTTGGATGTAGCGCGCCACGTGCTCGCGGACCAGCGGGATCCCGGGGCTGGCGCTGTACGCGCCTGCGAGGGGACAGAGGGGACA